CTAAGGTGTGCCTGACACAAGCCATGATATTTCCAATCGCCTCGTATGCATGTGAGAGCTGGACAATGAATAAGGAAGACCGAAGAAGAGTAGATGCTTTTGAGTTGTGGTGCTGGCGAAGAATGCTGAAAGTACCATGGACTGCTAAAAGAACTAACAGATCTGTCCTGGAGGAAGTGCAGCCAGAATGCTCCTTAGAAGCAAGGATGGCCAGACTTCGTCTCACCTACTTTGGTCATGTTGTAAGAAGGGAGCATTCCCTGGAAAAGGATGTCATGCTTGGTAGGGTGGAGGGTTGACGAAAGAGGGGGAAGCCTTCAACGAGATGGATTGACACAGTGGCTGCTATGATGGGCTCCAGTATAGCAGGGATTGTGGGGCTCGTGCGGGATCGGGCAGTGTATCGTTCTGCTGTGCATGGGGTCGCTATGAGTCGGAAACGACTCGATGGCACTTAACAACAACAACAACAACATAATTGATTTGACTAAAATGCCACAAAAGGAAAAACAATTAAATCCACTTACTGCTAACATAATAGAGTGATATTTAGGGGATATTAAGAAGTAAATTCAGGAAATACTACAGCCATGAGTTATTACAACTTGTAGAAACGCTGGGCTTCTTCATTAATTTTGTTTCTAAAACAAGACCAAATAATTAGTTTCTGTGTAGATTATAAAAAATAATCTGCTAACCCTTAATGCTCCTTTGCTTAGAGTTGAAGTGCTTTTACGGGAAACTGCTAAAATCATCTCAACGACTGATTTGTTTAGGTTCCAAATTAGGAGAAAACAAGATGTATCTGTTGGGGTTCTTTGCAACAGAAGCAACAGGAAAACCAGGCTTGGATGAAAGCAGCTCCAGAGTGGGAGGAAGATCTAAGAGCACAGCAGTGGTTGGAGGAGCTACAGATCGGACTGTGATGGTCCGATCAGACACAGGCACCGGAAGGAATGACGGCCAACTGCTTTTAGTCTTTGACTCCCTCTGCTCAAGACCCACATTCTAAGGAGCAGCAACCACTTGATCTAGTTGCATCATTTGGACTTACCTTGGCTAGGAAAGATCCTTGGGAAGTCCCTCCTGATTATATCTAATGGGGAAGAAGAAATTTCTCAAAAGATGAGGTTTGGAAGGGGAAATGGATGTTTGCAATAAACAGAATGCGCTCTTGCCCTTATAATTCTGAGCATTTGGATTGAGGTGTGTCCCTGCTTCTTTTCAATGAGAAAGCCTAATTTCAAAGATGGTGCAAGGTCAGCCAGTACACTCTTAAGTGGACTAAGAGCAATGATTACAAGCTTTGATGACTTATATTTGATCAGAAGTAGATTAGGGACATTTCATATAGGTTCTAGGTGCAATCTATTAAAGTAAACCTGTGGCATATGTGTAAAAAGCCACTATGGACTTCCTGAGGTCAAATGACCAAGACAGAAAATATGGAAAAAAATAAATCTTCATAATTAAAAAAAAAAAAAACTAAAAAAAGTTGCCTCCTTTGGAAAGCTAATGGGTTATTATAAAAGGTTGGTCCTTCATTTGGGGTGACAAGTTGGTACACCTTTAATTGTTTGCTAATAAAACAGACACCTGATGTGAAGTTATTCAGATCCACAGTCAGAAAACTTTGAAAAACTGAAACAGGATATAAATTATTTAAGAGTACTGAAAAATCCAGGTTCTTCAAACAATTTTGTGGTATCAGGTGACACATCACTTACTGATTTGGGAATAACTTTATTACAAGAGCACGATAATATAAAACATTCTGTAATGCACCGCAATAGAAAATGATTGTCAAGGGAAAGAAATCCATTTGTCTTCTTCAGGAAAGAAAAGTTTGGCAATTACTTGAGCCATAACATCGTTGTTTAGTAGAGTACCCTGAGGACTGATCATTAAGCACTGTCACTTGAATAAAGAACTACTACAGAGTAGCAGAGGTGGCGACAGAAGCTTTCAGGGCCTCTAGATAAATATTCGACATGTTCATGGTTGGTAAAATTACTTGTGGAGGACCCTTCATATAAAGTATAGCCTCTATATGCATCTCATGAGTCTATCCTGATAGGACACTATACTCATAATTTTTCTTAAGTTAAAATAGTTTCAATTAAGAAATAGAAGGGAAGAAAACCACAAAGAGAAGAACATTGGAAAATTTAGACTAGTTAAAATAGTCTGAAGAAATAGAAGGAAAAGATGCACAAGAACACTGGAAAATTTAGACTTTAGACTTCCAGGTCTCCAGTATGTTCCCTGCTCTCAGTGGCAGGAAGACAGAGACATAAGAGGGGAGTAAACAGACTACAGCAGTATAAAGGCAAGATAGAGTCACAATGTAACAAAGGGAAAAAACCTCAGAGGACTTAATCTCTCAAGAGTCTGAGAGGTCACAGGATTAGTTTTGAGAGCAGCAGTTCTGAAAGAAAGATAAGGTATACCTGCAACAGAAATAGGGCTAGTTCCAACATTCTCCAAGCAAGAGAGAGTAGCAACAGCCATAGAAACATCTGCTGATAAAATGGATCTGAACACATCCCTTAGGCTTCAAAAAAAGGTCTGACACCACTTGGTCTTGTCAGCAGAGACTAGTCATCATCATCAACAGTCTCCCTTATTCGAATGCTGTGAATTCAAATTTCATGAGGCTCTTCTCTAATACTGCCAGGACAAACTGCCCCACCTTGAACACTGAGGGCAACCACCCAACCAAAATACCAGCTTGGCATCAAAGACTCCTTATGCACTAGTTTCTATTTACTCACTGGTCTCACCTCTTATCACCACCCCCTTGCATCTAAGCTTTAGTCACACTCATGACTTGCAGTGCTACAAACACTCCTTGACCTTTCTAGCCAAGCACCTTTGCACATATTATTCTCTCCTCCTAGAAGGTCCTTCCTACCCTTTTATCTCCTCTTTCTCTAGCTACTCCTGCCTGTCTTTCAGTGTTCAAACTCATGTCACTTACCACTGTTTGATTAGGTACTCCCCGGATGAATTTTCCTGGCATGCTTTCAATGAAAGCATCTATGAAACTGACTCATAATTACCTATTGACTTTCTATAACCCCATACACTGGATTTATCATGAAGGCAGGGGACTATGAAGAAAAGTCAGTCAACCAATACTTGGTGAATAAATAAATTAGGATTGTGTGTGTGTGTGTGTATTTATCTCCTGCATTCAGAGCAATGACAGGACCTAGTGAATTTTAAGTAAGTATTTGCTAAATGTGCTAAAGGCACTCAAAAAATATTTGTTGGATGGATGAATCAGTGGACAGAAGATGAGGAAGTACTACATCAGAATTCCTAAGTTCCAATATTCTGCTTTCTAACCTCAAATATCTTCCCCTCTTGCCCTGTCAGGCACTAATTCTTTGGATTCTGACCTAATAGAGATGTCCAATCTCTTGATATCTCCATAGTGATATTGCCTCAGAAACCCAAGGAGGGGTCGCTCAACAGCACATAACAACAACAACAACCTAGTCATTAAATAACTCAATGGTGTCCCTTCATTCCCTATTCCGTTTGTAGCCATTTTTCATTACCATGAGAAAAACAAAAAAAAAACAGCCCTGGAAAAATCCCATATTCTGTTGTCACAGCTAAAAAAAATACCAGACCAGGAAAATGTCAAAGCACCATGCAGGTAGGAACCTCCTAAAAATCCATAGTCTCCAATTTTGGCTAGAACTTTATGATGCTGGCCAGTCCTCTTTACTCACTACTCATCTTTACTCTCCTCAGTCTAACTCTCCACCTGTACCCCTTCACTGTCTTGCCTCCCACTTTATCAGATGTTTGAGTTAAGAAGGCATCAACTCAACTTTTGCCTTTACACCAACGAACTTATTTATATCTACATATGTCCCTACCTCCTTCCCTTCTGCATCAGATGATTAAGGGTTCCCCCTGAAGCCCACCATTCATTGAAGATTAATCCCTTTCTTCTGTGCTTTCAATCTCACCCTCTTCTCTCTTTTATAAGATTTGGCTCTATAAATTAACCCCACTCTCTTATATCTTCAATTTCTCTCTTCTTTACTAGTTCTTCATCTCAGCATATGAATATGCTCAATTTTCTCTCTTAAAACCCTTTTCTCAACTGTTTTAAGTCTGTAATCCTAGCTTTGATGAATATTTTCCTCCCCTTATTAGCCAACTTACTTGTAACATTATTCTGTACCTTCTCATGAGCCATTCACTCCTCAATCTACTACAATCAAAGTTTTCAGAAGATTCCATAATTTGGAAATGTCATTACCATCTGATAATTAGACTCCACAGTCAACATGTAATGAATCAGTAAGGAGATAGAACAATTTCTAGGCCAAAGTGAGACCTGATTAAAAGTATCAACAAATTTAAAGAAAGAACAAATACAGTTAATCAGGAAAGGGACTGATCCAACTAGCAGTATCTCTCTCAGGGAGAAGAAATCTTAACTAATGGACTTGGAGCATTTTAATTCCATAGAAATGAATGCATCACACTAGCACAATGTCACTTAAATTCTCTGGTGGTATAGTGCCTAAGGGATTTGACTGCTAACCAAAAGGCTGGCGGTTCAAACCCATCAGCCACTCCTTAGAAGGAAGATTGGGCAATCAACTTCCATAGTGACACCGCCTCAGAAACCCACGCAGGGGTCGCTATGAGTCAGATCCAACTCAACGGCAGTGAGTTTGGTTTTTGGTTTTTTTCTCTCTCATTTTGAGTCTTTCTGCTGTTATTTGGCTTCTTGTGCAGCTTGCCCCTACAGACAGAGAATACCATGCATTTTAGGAGAGTTCAGAACTGATGATTAGTTTCTTCTACTCAGGACTGCTTCCCTTCTCAAAGAGGAAAGCACATGTGGTGAACCTGAAAGTTCATATTCAAATGTTAAGGAAAACACATTGTTTTTAACAAAAGGGAAATAAATCATTCATTGTAATAGAACTTTTAAGTCAGGACTAAAAGAAGAAATTAAATATCATTACCATCAAAAAGTCATGTGAAGATGAAGACGTTGCATCTTTCTCAAATATTAAAAGAGCTTTATGCATCAAGTAAATTGCTTTGGATAGTTTATTCTTCTTTATTTTATTCATTACACTTAATTCTGCAAAAGCAAACAAACATATTGCCAAGATTAAAACTATCCTCAAGATTTTTTGAAAATACAGGCTGTTCCAATTTTAATTACCTGTAAAACAATCCGTGCTTCCAGATTGTTTTGACTTTTCAGAGCCTTTGGTAGAAACGTTTTTGCTAACAGTTGGAGTCTGCAAAACTGGAGAAGAAGAATATGAAAAAGAAGACTGTCATGATAATTGCATTTGTGTTCAAGAAAGGAAACATTTTCTAAACATTAAAGAGTAGCTATCCATTTGTAAAATTATTTCTTCCCCTGTCATGTCATTTTTTTTTTCATTAGTAGATGAAAATTCAAATGAATCTACTATGATGCAGTTTTATTGTGAAATCCTCTTTGATTTGCCACAGTATACCCAAGGACATCAGAATTTCCAAATTATAAAAATATTTTCTATTGCACCTTAACTTAAATCATCTTGAAGTTTGGTAAGTATGGCTTTTGTTCCCTTTCCCTTTCAATAAAGAATAGATGGCAAGTCCTGTTATCAATTAGCTGTCACAAGTCCGTGCTCAGGCTTTTCTGGAAAAATTGCTTCATCCATGGTCCCCAAAAGAGGCAGCTCTGTACACATGAAGAACCCATCCTTCCTCTGACAAAATTAGACCCTCTCCTTCTCAAGAATTTCAACTAGCACAGTAATTATTACTAGTTGAGTGTAAGTAGGATAATACAGAAATCCTGGTGTACAGTTGGGACTAACACAGTGGTTTGGTAAAAAGAGGAAGTTAAATAAAGGAGAAAAAGATAAACCTATCTGGGCTCAGTGAGATGGGGAAGATATCACAGATTCTTGATTTTCCACTCCTGGTCCTCAAGAGACCTAGCAATATATTCTTTCTGTCCTTGGAGGTATATGAGGATGTCTGTAGTAAACTTACAATAAGTCCTTTTTATTGAGACTTAATTATTTGTGCTAAAGCAGGTGAATCATCACGAGATGTTGATTGATTGATTAAAAGATACCAACAGACACCATTAAAGGGTATAAAGTTTCCTGAATAAAAAGGATAAGGGAACTTACCTGCATGGAGGTAGCCATATAAAGCAAGAAATAATGCATCATTCTCTCAGGACCTATGAGTGGTTAAAAGCTCATTAAATACCTTCATTGGAGTTAAGAAAGATGAGACTGCAAGAAAACTTTGGGTGCCAGATATGGGTCACATTTAATGCCATGGTCATCAACAACCATTGTAAAGTTCTTTAATAAGAATGACAAAAGGTGCATTTAGAGAACTATTAGTCTGGAACCAGCATACTGAAGTGAAGATGGCAGAAAAAACAAAGTGTGCTAGGGTTAGAGTTCAATAAAGTAGGGTGAGGTGGAAATCAAGGACATTCAGCGATATTGCAAAGGAAAAATAATTAATTCCACATAATTAAACTCAAGTCAATCATCGATATCTTTAAGTGGTCTCCAAAAAACTCAGAGAATCATTTGGCCTTCAAAAATATTTGGATGACAATTAGAAAATGAACTATTTAGTAACTCTATAAGCAAATAATACCCTACTCCTCCACTAAAAAGGACAATAAAGCTATGAAGTGGGAATCATGGGCAACTTCCCCTAAAGAAAACCTGACACAGTTTATTAACATTTTGGAATATTTTAAGGAGCTATGTTGGAAAATTTGGCCTTGGAGATAGAAACAATGCTCGAGAGTGCATGATAGAATTTTACAAGACTAACGACTTACTTATTGCAAACACTGTTTTTCAACAACACAAACAGCAGCTATACAAATGGACTTCACCAGATGGAGTACACAGGAATCATATTGACTACATCTGTGGTAAGAGGTGATGGAGAAGCTCAATATCTTCAGCAAAAACAAGGCCAGGAGCTGACTGTGGAAAACACCATCAACTGCTCATATGCAAGTTCAAGTTGAAGTTGAAAGACAATTAAAACAAGTCCACAAGAGCCAAAATATGACCTGGAATATATCCCTTCTGAACTTAGAGACTATTTAAAAAATAGATTTGATGTGCTGAACACCAATGACCGAAAACCAGAGGAATTGTGGGATGACATCAAGAACATAATCCATGAAGAAAGCAAAAGGTCATTAAAAAGACAGGAAAGGAAGTAAAGCCCAAAATAGATGTCAGAAGAGACTCTGAAACTTGCCCTTGAATGGAAAATAGCTAAAGCAAATGGAAGAAATGACAAAATAAAAGAGCTAAACAGAGGATTTCAAAGAGCAGCTCAAGTCAATTATTATAATGAAATGTGCAAGGACATGAAATTGGAAAACCAGAAGAGAAGAACATGCTCAGCATTTCTCAAGCTGAAAGAACTAGGGTAAAAATTTAAGCCTTGAGTTGCAATACTGAAAGATTCTATGGGCATTATATTGAATAATGCAGGAAACATGAAAAGAAGATGGAAGGAATACACAGAGTCACTGTACCGAAAAGAATTAGTTGATGTTCATCCATTTCAGGGGTGGCATATCATCAAAAACCAATGGTACTGAGGGAATAAGTCAAAGCTGCATCAAAGGAAGTGGTGAAAAACAAGGCTCCAGGAACTGGTGGGATATGCATGGAAATGTTTCAACAAATGGATGCCCCACTGAAGGCACTCACTTGGCTATTCCAAGAGATTTGGAAGGCAACTACTTGGACAAATGACTGGAAGAGATCCATATTTGTACCCATTCCAAAGAAAGGTGATCCGACACAATGTGGAAAGTATCCAACAATATCATTAATATCACACATAAGTAAAACCTTACTAAAGATAATTCAAAAACGGTTACAGCAGTATATTGACAGAGTACTTCCAGAAATGCAGGCTGGATTCAGAACAGGACATGGAACAAGGGATATCATTGCTGATTTCAGATGGATCTTGGCTTAAAGCAAAGAATACCAGTAAGATGTTTACTTGTGTTTTATTGACTATGCAAAAGCATTCGATTGTGTGGATCATAACGAATTATGGATAACATTGAGAAGAATGGGAATTCCAGAACACTTCATTATACTCATGAGGAACTATACATAGACCAGGAGGAGGCTGCCATTTGAATAGTACAAGGGGACACTGCATAGTTTAAAATCAAGGAGGGAGTTTGTCAGGGTTGTATTCTTTCATAATACTTATTCGATTTGTATGCTGAACAAATAATCAGAGAGGCTGGATTATATGAAGAAGAACATGGCATCAGGATTGGAGGAAGAATCATTTACAACCTGAGATATGCAGATGACACAACTTTGCTTGCTGAAAGTAAGGATGACTTGAAGCACTTACTGATGAAAATTGAAGACTACAGTCTGCAGTATGAATTACACCTCAATATAAAGAAAACAAAAATCCACACAACAGGACCAATAAGCAGCATCACGATAAAGGGAGAAAAGATTGAAGTTGTCAAAGACTTCATATTACTTGGTTCTACAATCAATACCAATGGAAGCACCAGTCAAGATATCTGATGTTGTACAGCACTGGGCAAATCTGCTGCAAAGGACCTCTTTCCAGTTTGAAGAGCAAAGGCCCAAAATCCATTAAATGGGGAA